TTGATCAGATTAAGAAAGAGCTAGCAAGGCATACTTTTTGGTGTGTTTGTGGAAGCTTTTCTTGAAGGGACTAAACAAAGGGGAAGACCCATCCTGAAAGTGTTTACCACCCTCTGGTCACTGGGGTCCTGTCCTAAGGAAAAAGGAGGAAGCCAGCTGAGCACTAGCATTGCTGCTTGTTTCTGTGCTTGCTGATTGCTGTGGTGTGAGCATGCAGTCTAACACTCGTGCACACATGGAGTCACAGGTTAGGACTGCATTTATAATGCCTGCACATGATTAAGGCAGCCAACAGAGCAGCACAAATGGTGAAAGTCTCATGAAATCCCGTCTGGAACTGAGAATCCAGTGCTCACACTAGCAGAAATAAGGGGATTCAGAGGTGGGGGCCAGGACAGGTACTACTCATCCTGTAATAGATGAACCTGCATCCGCAGGGATACTAGTAACACTAAGTAGACTCAGTGTGTGAGAAAGAAAGAGGGTGTGGGAGGATGGTAGGGAGGGAAGGAGGCAGTGAGAGAGGGAGAAAGAACACGCAAGAGAGTGTGGTCATATGAATTTTGGGGTGGAAAAAGTTGCAGGGATAGAATGGGGAGAATTTGAGGAGAGGAATAGGGGGAGATTTGATCAAAGTATGTTATAATGCATGGATGGACTTCTCAATAAAAGAGTAATCACTTGGATAAATAGGAGAGGCTTTTATTTTCCTTTATATATAAGGAAAGTGCTACAGTGTTCGTGATTGGTAGTGGTGTGTGTGTTGATGCTGTTGTTATTTAGCAATACTATGGCCATACAGTTCTCCTGCAGCTAGTATGTAATAAATCTGATGTTAGTCTAATAAATCTACATATGTCATTACCTTTCTCTTAATTTTATAATTCTTTTATTATTGATTTTTGATGTTGAAACTAATGTGCCTTTGAGTTCTTGTCCTAGTGTCCCTGTTGTCCTGGTCATGTGGTGTCCTGTATTTGGATGCACTTACATATTTCAGACCTTGTAGTTTTCAAGTCTATTATTTCATTAAATAGTTTTTCAGGATTTTTATGTATTTACTTCCAATTAGAGCTCTTGTGAGATATTTGCTTGGATAATAGTATCCCATGTTTCTTCTAGGCTTTCTTTCTTATAATTAATTCCCGTGTCTTTTTATCTGACTTATTTCAAAGTACCTATTCTCAAATTTATAATCCTTTTCTTCCACATGCACTGTTTTATAAACCTTTATTAAGTAATGCTTTTAGCTCTATGATTTCTGTGACTTTTTGTTGCATCACTCATCCTGTTACTTCACTCTTTATCTTTATCCATATTTGTGTGTCTTCTTTTGAATTGCTTCTCGGGCATTTTTTTTATTTCTTGCACATTTTTTACCTGTTTCCAGAGAATTATTATGTCCTATTGGAGGTGTCATATTTCCTTGTTTTTTTCATTTTTCTTTAAATTTCTTTGTCTCTAGAAGTATTTTTTTTAATTTCTTGTTTCTTTTATTCCCACTTGGGTATTTGCATATCTAATTCAACTGTCTTTTCTAGTTTTATGGACAATCTTTTATAAGAGAAGGCTTTTGTTCCTGTGTGTCTAACTCGCACAGATAACTAGGACTCTGAAGTAGGGTCTTTGCTGGGATGTACCCGACTGTGCCCATTCTGGCAGTGTTTTTTTGTTGTTGTTGTTTGTTTGTTTTTTGTTTTTTTGTCAGAATGAGTACAGATTTGAATATGTGAGATAGAAAAAATCCCCTCTGCTAATATAGAAGTTTAATGGCTCATTCTTGTGGGATTGCAGGAGACCAGAATGCTAACAGAAATGCATATACTGAAGGCCAGCCTTTTGATATTTCAAAAATGAAAGGGGATTTTTATTGAGAATTGCACTATAGACCATTCATGTTTCTTTCTGACAAAGAATCTGCCTTTATTTTGCTCGTGTCCTGAGAATTTGAATGTGACTCTGTTTGAAATTGTGCACTCTCTCACGTTTGGAATACAAATGTTTGCGGTGAAGTTGTACATTTTACATACTATATGGACTCACAGTTAGATTGCCTGTAAACATAAGAAACAACATTGGTCTTTTGAACAAATTTGAAACTAACAAGAAGGAGAACTTTGAAGTTGGACTGACTGACTACACCTTGCATTATGAGATACTGTGAACCTATGAGGGGTAGACTAGACGATTACAGTTTGAACCTTAAATATCACCCATCAACTATTTGACTACCTGCTCTCTAGCTTATGATGTAGTATTATGAAGTCAGTTATATGACTATGCGGAGTATTAGGAAAGGGACATCAAGCTAAAGGAAGTAAATCGTTTGGATAGGCATTGTGACTTGTAGGCCTAGCTTTCTCTGCCCCCACTTTCACCCCTTCTATATCTATCTATGTTAATGAAAAAAATATATATTGTATTCTGATTACACGTTCTTCTCCCCCAGCTCCTCTCAGATCCCCCTTCCCCAACACATACACAACTCTATGCCCTTTATTTATCTTTAAGCAACAGGAAAACAAAAACACCCAAAAGCCAAAAGCAAGCTCCAAGCATAGCACTGTACTGTGAAACAAATGAGTCTACAGCCATTGAGTTTGTTTCATTTTGGCCATCTACTGCTGGGCATAGAACCTATTCTAAGGTTTGGTTAATATACCCAGGGATGAAAGCTAACTTTTCTTTTGCAAATATGTATTAATTGCAAATAGCTTTTGTTGTAGGAGGCTGCTTGTTTGTTCCTGGCAGCTCAGCCCCAAAATAATCACACAGAAACCATATTATTTGCAATACTCTTTGGCCAATAGCTTAAGCATATTTCTGGCTAACTCATATCTTAAATTAACCCATCTCCATTAATCTGTATATCACCAAGAGGCTGTGACTTACCGAGTAAAATTCTGATGTCTGTCTCCTGTGGGGCTACTTGGCTTCTCCTTACTCTGCCTTCTTTGCCCAGCATTCAGTTTAGTTTTACCACCTATCTCTATTCTGCTCTGTGCAGGCCCAAGACACTTTCTTTATTTGTTAACCAATAAAAGCAACACATATAAGAAGGACTTCCTACATAATTTCCCCTTTTCTGTTTGAATAAAAAGGAAGGTTTTAACTTTAACATAGTAAAATTATATACAACAAAACAGGTATCAAGCAAGAATTACAATTACAATATTTGTATCTACTTTATCTTTCATCCTAACTAAGGAAAACTATAACTATCTATTCTTCAACTCCATCAAAAACTCCAGAAGGATATAATATTACCCAAGTAAACAGGAAGTACATTGTAAGCAACTTCTAAAACCTAGAATTGGGTTTGGTTCCAGATATACACATGGTGGCTTACAGCCACCTGCACCTCCAGCTCATGGGCCTTGAATGCATTCTGTTGCTCTCAGCAGGCAATATTCACAATAGTAGCCATACATACATGCAGGCCTACATCTATACATGTCAAATAATGTCAAAATAAAAATGTTTCTATTTTGGCTTATCATTTTGAAGGTTCCAGGCTATCATGATTATTTCTATTACTTATGAATTCTGACAAGGCAAGCACATTATGGTTGAAGACTGCTTGAGGGTAAAGAGTTTCCTGTATAAGCAGAAGGATCAGAGTTCATATCCTCAGCATTCAGTCAAAATTTGGGTGTGCTGCACCTATCATGCTAGCCTGGGATAGAAGACTTGGGGCGCATGGAGATCAGTGATCTCCAGGTTCAGTGAGAGAGTTTGTCTCAAAAAGAAGGTGAAAAGCAATAGATGAAGACGCCTGACAGCCCAGCATCTCTTTCTTACCTCAGAGGTGCACACATAGAACACACAAGTAAAATTTTACATAAAGATCCCAACCAAAGTTCCTTTTTTCATGCCGTTCAATTCAAGCTTGATGTAAAAGAATTCATACTTTTATCTATGCCTGGTCCAATTTTGAGCATTTTACTTATAGAATCCTATAATAAGAGCTCTGAGTCTCTTTAACAATTGAATTATAGTTGATAGCTTTTCAGAATTCCAGCATGCTTTTTAACTCTGCACTACAACATAAGGATTGTACAAATCTTATTCTAGTGAATGAATTGTTGTTAGTCTCCACTTTTATTTGGATCGTGAGATATCACCAATTATCTGTATATATCTCAGGTAAACCAGTGGACTGCTAACGTGTTTGGGGATCAGCACTGGGAGAAATCAGCCAACAGATGATGACTGTAGCCGTTTGGAGTAGCTGGAGCTAGTGCAGTCTTAGGCTGTGAAGTGTGAGTCCTGGTTGATGAAGAGTACCGTCAGACACTTCCCAGATGTGTTTGCTTAGTATGGAGACCATTACCAAGTGCAACTGACCTCAGAATATTGAGTCAAATTACATTTGCAATCATTAAGAGAAAGCAATTTTTTAAAAATAAACTTCCATTATTTGAAAACCAGCCAATGATCAAGAATAATATAGGTGGCAAAATCAGACAACAGACTTTACAGCAAGCATGTTGTTGGGGCTGGAGAAATGGCTCAGTGGTTAAGAGCACTGACTTCTCTTGCAGAGGACCCATTTTCAGTTCCCAGCACGCACATGATGGCTCACACCATCTGTTACTCTGGATCCAGGGTAGCTGATGGCCGTCTCTGGCTTCCAAACGCATCAAGCATACACATATGTAACCAAACGCCCATATTGTCTAATCATCAGGAAAAGGGATTATAGACTTATACAAGTTTCATGATATTTTTGTATTTAAAATTCAGTCTAACAGTGTCAGGTCTTTGCATTTAGGGGATTTACCCTTTTCTGAGGTGGTGAATTTGAGCAGTTTTAAGTTTCAGGGACCTGTTGCACAGGATTTCCAGTACAGGGCTATTCCTAGTAACCTGAGCCACTGTGTAGGGTTGGTTTATTGATTTTGTATCTCATGTCCCCCTGTGACCCTCAATGTGTCTGCTAAAAGACTAGTGCTCTGTGACCTTTTATTGATGTCTCAACAATCTTTGTCTCTGTCTAGGGTGAGCCCATCACCTTCTGTGAGGAGAGCTTTGTGAAGCACCGCTCCAGTGTGATGAGACAGTTCCTGGAGACTGCAGCTAACCTTCAGCTGTTTAAACAGGTGAGAGTGGGCCGCACAGCACAGCACAGCACAACACAACACAACGCAGTGGTCTGTGCAGAGAACACTGCCATTCAACACACTTCTGCCACCCTGAGTCTGCATCTAAGTAAAAAAATCTGTGTCCTGAGAGAAGCTTTTCTGAATCAGGAAGTTCTCTTTGTGTGGTAAGTACTGTTGAAATGCTGGGGACTGCTGAGAGGGGAGCACAATTGTATCCAGTAGCAAAGGTCACCCCTGAAGTCATAGATGAGTAACACTGGACAGACTGAACAGGATCTATGTAATTCACACACACATATATATGCAGCAACAGTTAATGAAAAAAGAGGCTGTGACTTTGTGACTTTGAAAGAGGCAAGGAGGGGCCTATGGGAGGGTTTGAGGGTAGGAAAGGAAAGGGAGAAATGGTGTAATTATTTGGGGCACATGGGAGGGTTTGGAAGAAGGAAAGGGAAGGAGAAATGATGTCTCAGGAAAAGCTGATAAGCTCAGGTATGCATTAAGGAAGGCTATACTTCGCAGAAATGGATCGGCATGCTGAATAGACCGAGATCATCACAGTGTAATCCAGCTTATAATTATAGTGTATGTCTTGTCTTTTGTTTAGGGGATCTAATTGCTATTTCAGAATAGCAAAGATTGACATCAGAATTCAGATATTTTAGTTCAGGGACACTGGGTCTTTTTTTTTTTTTTTTTTTTTTATAGGGTCTCACTGTGTAGCTTTTGCTGACCTGGAACATGATAAACAAACCTGGCTGTCCTTGAACTCAAACAGATCTGCTTGCCCAAGTCTCCCAAGTGCTGGGATTACAGGCACATGCCTCCCTTCTCTCTACCCACTATCCTCCCTCCCTCTCTCAATATTTATATGTGTATTCAGGGCCTCTCTTGGCAATAGTTATGTTTCCAAATTAGCACTTTGTATCGACAGCAGTAACATGTAGTTTTAATGAAATAATTAATGTGAACTTATTTCTGGCAGTATGGCAGGATAGAGCCAGAAAAGTGATTTACTGAAGGAATCTAAAAAGCAGCAGCTAAGGGCTGGAGAGATGGCTCAGTGGTTAAGAGCACTGACTGCTCTTCCAGAGGTCCTGAGTTCAATTCCCAGCAACCACATGGTGGCTCACAACCATCTATAATGAGACCTGGCGCCCCCTTCTGGCATGCAGGCACACATGGAAGGCTGTACACATAATAAATAAATCAAAAAAAATTAAAAAAAATAAATAAAAAGCAGCAGCTAAAACATAAAGACCAGCATTCATTTCCCTGAAAATCTTGGTGGGGGCGCTAGATAAAAAGTTGACCTGAAATAAAAGACAGGGCTGCCCTTGTCTGTTTCATAAAGTTTTAAGGTAAGCTCAGTCCTAACATCATTGGACAGACCAGGAAATGAGGCATGAATGACAGGGAGCAGGTTCACAAGTAGACACTGACTCAGAGGGTCTTAGTGTTGTCAGCATCAGAAGTAGAATAAAATATATCCACATTTATGTATTAGAATAAGGAAAAATGAGCTTTGAAAATATTAAGGAATAGCAACCTTAAAGAATGCAAAGTCTATTACAGCGGTATAACAAAATTCCATTAAAGAAGAATATAGTCATTAAACTTAAAGGAAACAGATTTATCTGTAAGTGAGATCATATTAGAATAAGAAAAAAATGAGCTTTAAAATATTTATGAATAGCAGCTTTAAAGAATGCAGAGTCTATTACAGTGGTGTAACAAAAGCCCAAAACAAAAACAAAAGAAGACTATAGTCATTGAACTTAAAGGGAACAGATTTATGTGTAGGTTAGATCTAAGTGTAATGAGATTTCTTGAATTGAAGAAGTATATGAAATAGAAATACAGTGCACAGAGACAAACCATAGGTAAGGTTGGTAGAGTATGTTATGAAAGTGTCCACATCCATGCAATTACAATAGGTAGGAAAGAAAACAGAGCTTAGACAGTAGGTGCAAGAATCATACCTGAACCAATAAAATACTCCATTTTATTGATCTATGAAGTTAAGTATATCCAAATTGAATAGAGAAGAAGAGATTTATATCCACACATAATATATTTCAACTATAAAACCCTAGAGAAAGAGAAAGGGATTTACTTTACATGCCCATGCATGCAATGCCCACAGGTGTTAGAAGAGAATGTCCGATCCCCTGGAGCTGGAGTGCTAGGAAATTGTGAGCTTCCCCAGCGTGGATGTTGGGAACTGAACCCTGCTCTTCTGGAAGAGCAGCAGTGCATTTAACTGTGGCGCCATCTGTCCAGCCTGGGGAAATTTTTAAACGAGTAAGTTGTAATGTAATAGAATACTGCAGCAGAGGAATAAATGAACTCTCGTAAAAGTGAAAACACATGACATGAATGCAGTACCATGAAAGCTTCATATGTGTCTGCTGAGTTCTGCTATATAATGTCCAGATGAGCAAAACATTTATGATATATGATAAAAATATGACAAAGACCATAAAGAATGGTAAGAGAAGCTGAAGAGATTGTGGTCTTTTCTTTAAAGAGAGGCTGTTCTGCCTTTTTTTTTTTTTTTTTTTTTTTTTTTTTTTTTTTTTGTCAATTACAAACATGTTAGAGGAGAGAGCCTCACTTGAGAAAATGCCTCCATGAGATTGGGCTGTATTCAGGTCTATAGGGTATTTTCTCAATTAGTGGTTGTTGTGGAAGGGTTCATCACATTGTGAATGTAGCCACCTCTAGGCTTGGTGGTCCTCTTGTTATCAGAAAAAGACTCCTGTCGTACTTCCCAGATAATGGGCTACAAATTGTAAGATGAAATAAAACCTTTCCTCAAGTTGTTCTTGGCCATTGCATTTTATCACTGCAAAAGAATCCCTAGCTGAAACAGGGGCACAGATAACCTTTCATCAACTTCATAGTATTTTATATTTGATTTGGAACTACAATTACAGTGACTAAATGTTGAAGGGATTCCTATGATAGTTTGACACATATTCACTTAGACACATAATGGTAACCATACGCAGAGTGTGTGTGTGGGGGGGGGTGACCACATTCTGTAGCTAACTATAATCCAACATAGTTTCTGGTAGTGAGCACAAACAAAATTTACTCATCAAGTTGGAAATAATTACTAAATTGTCATGAACTGTGGTAACCATGTTGTAAAGTAGTTCTCAGAAACACCCTGTGTGCATCTGCCTCCTTGCACTCCTAGCTTGCAGCTAAGCAGTTTCTAAAACAAAGCATCAATTGCTACCTGCTTTACTTTATCATTAGCATTGACTATTGACTATTTAAATTCAACATTAATTTTGCTAAGGATCTTATGAAGGCATTTTTTTTTGTCATGTCTCCAACCTAGGTTCTAATGGTTTGTGTTTTCACTGATATATGACTTGTAAATCCCTCTGGGCCTCCGGTTCCACATCTGTGAGGCAAACTAAACTTGAATTCTAAGCCTTGGATGTCTTTTGTGTCTTATATTTCATGATACTATGGAATAAACACATAGATAGACGACGGTGGGCTCCATTTGGATTAATTCCTGTTTAGATAATAGATTTGGATGGAATCCCAGAAATAATTCTTCAAATCTACAGTTTTAACATAACCATCTTTTTTGTACGTTACAGATTTATGAGGAGTAAGCCTTATCTTAAGTCTCTTGTCTTTATTTAATACTGTACTAATAAGGAAATTTTTCTTGTGTATTATTTACTACTAAATTTAGTGGTAAAAAAAAGTTCTTTTGTTTGTGCCTTCCAAGGTTAGAATCATGGCTGCTCTTAGCATATTAAATTTTAAAATCCAAGTTTATTCTTTTACTTTAAGGCCTCTCCTTGATTATAGACCCTCTTGACTGGCAGTGTACATTGCTGTTAAAAATTAGAAAAGGATCTCTAATTTATATAGACACCCCCACCCACCCCCCCAGTTGGCTAATGCAATTGCTAATTCACCTGAGCAAAAAAGGAAGGCTTCAGTTGAGAACTTGCCCTTTATCACTCATCCGAAATCATCATCTTTCATAAACTAATATAAACATGTATTTTACTCAACTTTTTAATATAACAAGTACCCGCCTATTGCCAAATAGAGTCCATTTTTTATTAGTTCAGTTTGTTCTTAGACAAGTTCACACACACATACTGTCCACTGTCACAACAGCCCTCTTTCATCTGTCTGTCACCTTGGCCCACCCCTTCTGTCCACAAACCTCTCCTGTGTTCACTTCTGTCTGTGACTCACCGAGCTTAACCAGGGTAATTTGTATGATGATGCATTTCGAGCTATCTGTTAGAGCCCAGTGGGCTTAGCTACATGTAGATAGCTCTCCTAAAACCATCAACAGTGTGTAGAAGGTGAGGCTACAAGAGTCCCTTCCTCTTCCAGGATGGTATTGTGTGGGCCCAGTGCAAGAAACCATGTACTTTTTAAAAGAGTGTGGAGGTCACTATCTAATGTCTACTGTTTTTTTTTTCTAGAACACCTATAAAATACAACATTGTGTATTTTTTTATTCTCTCATATAATACATCCTGACCTCAGTTCCTCCCCTGTCTCCTGCTAACTTTTCCCTCTTCCAACTCCCATCTATTCCTTCTCTGCCTCTGTTCAGAAAAGGGCAGGCCTGCTATTAATATTATATATCATATCTAGTTACAGTAATTCTAGGTATTTTCCTTTGTATTAAGTTGCTGAATGAAGCAACTCAGTATGAGAAAAAGGATCCCCAAAGCAAGCAAAACAGTCCCTGCTTTCACCATTAGGAGTTCCACAAGAAGGCCATGCTACACAACTGTGATATACATGTAGAGGGCCTAGGTCAGACAAGCCCTCTGGTTGTTAGCTCAATCTCTGTGTGCTCCTGTGCAGCAGATTAGTTGATTCTATGAGTTTTCTTGTGGCTCTGGCTCCTTTTGTGCAGGACTCCCCGAGCTCCACCTAATGTTTGAATGTGGGTTTGCATCTGTTTCCATCTGATGACATTTGGACTAGGCACCAAA